CAGCTCTGGCAAGAGATTGGATCAAGGCTACTTGCCTGTCTGTTTTCAGGACATTAAGTTTTGTTTACCTGTACAAAATGAAGAGAAAAATCAATGCAGAATGATTTTGCAGAAAACCTAATTTAAGAAGAAGAAGAAGAAAAAAGGGAAAGACAAGTCTTGCTTTCAACTAAGTACAAATTTTATTTTCTGTGAAATGTGGCAAAGACATCTTTAGAAAAGATACTTCAGTGCTTTAATGAGTGGTTGAAACTTCCTCTTAGGTGTTTCAAAGAACAATGGCAAAAGAGGAAGAGGTGTCTATCCTAGTGCACTCACTGCTGGGTACTGTCATTTTCATACGATTTCATTTGACCCCCACAATAACACTCTGAAACGGAGTATGAGGCTTAGAGACGCCATGTGCCTGTCCAGTTTCTCATAGCCAGTGAAGACAAGGTCTAGCCTCAGAATTTGAGGCCACGAGTCAAAGTATGTGAAAATACTCAGAAATTTTAAACAGTGCCGGCAACTCTATGTTGAAACTCTTCTATAAATAGTGCCCCAGTTATTTCTAGTTCTCATTGACTTGGTATAATGCAAACCATTCAGCAGTATTATATGGGTAGATATTTCCTTTTCACAACATTGCACAAATACATGATTTCCTCCTTCTTTCCACCGTGTAGGACAAGTAGGAAAAGAACAAGGCAATAGGAATTTACCTCCAAGCCATAAAACCTTCCTATCCTTTCAGTAAATCACTTGAGGAGAGTCTCCTGGTTACTAAGGAGACCATAACAGATCCATTCGATTCCAGTACAACACTTGGGTTGCCTGGCTGCTGAATGCCAAAAAACCAAAGGAAAATATTATTGTTGCTGAAATCATTTGATGTCTATGACTAATAAAAAAACATGTTGGCAAATTAAATTTTTCAAAATGCCCAAAGGGCTTGGTTAGACCTATGAATTAATAGCATACAGCAGTTTTGTCTGGAGAAAAGTTAAAAAAAAAAAGAAAAGAAAAAAAGACAAAGATGTTAAACTATTTAAAAATGTATCTGAATAACCAAAAGATGCCAATGGCAACTTGAGGCAATCAATGTCTTTTATTTGATTTTCAATTTAAGTTTAGTTTTCCCTTCCCTTTTCCCTTATCAGCTTAATAATAAAGCTTGTACATTTGAGTCATATTACCCTTGAATTCTAAGGGACCCGCAAGCCTTCTCAGCCCTATTATGCAGCTTCTTACAAATATCAGTGTTATCTTTAAAAGTTGGTGTAATGGCTATGTCGCTGGACTTCCATGTAATCAACCGCGGTTCGAGTCCTGGACCCAGTGGCTTAAACTCACACTGGGTGCATGGGTGTATATTACATGCCCAAGATCCCAAGATGAGAATGGAGGAGAAGGGATTGTGGCATGACCATTCCCCTGGGGGTGATTTCTCACTGTCTCTCTTTGTGACCAGCGCCCGTGCCCTATAGCAAACACCCCCCTCCAAAAAAAGTCCCCAATAACTCTTACAACCCTAGAGATTTTGAGTGCTGAGGGGTCTATTCATGCCCAGTGCTTGTTCCTTAAGGGGCTTGGGGGAACCAGAGTTGGAAAGAGTTGGGGGAAGGCCAAATTGCCCAATTACCTCTTGACCCAGTCCCGGAGGTCAGATGAGCCTGCCTGAAGGTATTCATCCAGTCTCTGATCATTCCCAGAGCAGGAGGTCTGCCAGGACGCATCCTATCTTGTTATGGATGTGACTCTGATTGTTGGAGGGTGCTTTCTCATGTCCTGCCAAAATCTGCCTCCTCATGTTTGCAACCCATTGTTCTTCATGGTATCTCTGCAACACTGTTTGACCCCACTTCCTTTCCTCTTCAATAGTCCCTTAGATAACCAAAATCAACTTTCATGACTGTCCGATATACTGTCTTCTCCAAGCTAAATATTCTTAAATGTTTTCTCAGATTATAAGGCACATACACAAATAGGATGCCATGAAGAAAAGGCAGAACGAATAATCACCATAAAAGAAAGACAGAGGTGGTCTGGAAATTAGATTTTAAGAAAGAGTTTTTTTTTTAACTGAAAAGTTATAATTTCTAACTAACTGATGTGGAGAAATACTGTGTCCACTGAGTCCTGATTTTTGGAAGGTCTCTCTCTCTCTCTCTTTCTCTCTCTCTCTCTCTCTCTATATATATATATGCCATGAGGCCTACGAACTTGCTGAAGAGACAGGCAGAGACAGAGAGGGGAAAAGTGAGAAATCACCCCCCAGGGGAGATGACTGCACCATAATCCCTTCTCCTCCATTCTCCTCCCGAGATTTCAGGCACACATGCACATGCATCCAGCATACTTTCAGGGTGCCAGGTCCAGGACTTAACCCCAGAGTCAGCCTTGTGGGATGCAGCACCTTAACTACCATGCCACCTGCTGGCCCAAGTGCTGGCATCCTGTCAAGTCATCCTGTCAAAATGGAAATGTAGTTCAGTAAGACTTTTCCTTAGTGACAGACACCCTGCCAGCTCCCAGTGAACACCCATCAATTCTCGCCAGATTGCATTTTTTTTGTTTTTGTTCATTTACTATCAATGCCTACTTTGAGAAAAGTTCCTGGAAAAGTACTTATCTGCATACTAATGTTGTTGTGATTTAAGAATGTGAATACCTTCTATTAAGAAATGAGAGAGGGATGGGGCCAGCAGTAACATGACGGTTAAGGTGCTGGACTCTCACCTGGTTGACTGTGGTTTGAGTCCTGGACCTGGTGTCCTGAAAATCACACCAGGCATGTGTTGTATGTGTGCCCAAAATCCCAAGAGGAGAATGAAGGAGAAGGGAGTGTGGTATGACCATTCCCCCTGGGGAGTGACTTGTCACTTTCTCTCTGTGTGTGTGTGTCTCTATAGCAAGCACACTCACTCTACAGGAGGGAAATAAAAGGAACTAAGAGAAGGGCAATATAAGGAAATGAAATCTTTAGTTCCTTCTCCCCCAGTATCTTATTATGAAAAATTCCATACCTTGGAAGGTCAAAACAATGTTATAGTGAAGACCAATGTACTCAACAACTAGGTTTTACAGTTAACTGTTGCCTTCAATTTATCACATAATTATTCATTTCTCTACCTGTCCAATGACCTATCTAACTTCTTTTTAAGTTCAGAGTTGCTTGTTCTTGTGAGCATATCTAACCCTTAACACTTCGGCGTGCACGGCATTATCTCGTCTTTTTGATACTTCTATTTCGTACTCACTCTGAATCACTCTTGCCATACTTTCATTTCTACTTTCCATTTTCCTTTCTGTACCCTTCTTCCCACTTTCTGTCTCCAAAGTTGTAAGTGATGAAAGGCAAATGTAAAAATCTGGACATGAGATGGTCATGAAGTGGCACCAGGGAAGGTCACCAATAAGCACCAGGGCACAGGTACTGTCACTGCAGGCTGGAATGGACCACGTCCTCCTGAACGAGTGGGCCCAAATCAGCTCACAAGAGAGGCAGGTGTTACCACGTCAACCTCGTACTTTACCATGAGAGGGACAACTATCGAATACAGAGACACAGTTCTTGAACGAGTCCATATGGCAGGCCAAATTATGAAGGTGGTCAGTAAAAAGAGGATCAGAGGAAGGGGATTAGTTAGAAGGTCTCAATGGCCTGGGGTCAGAGAGCTTATCAGCTTCGCTCAGCAGCTGGCCAGCAGTGGCTGACCTGGGGACCTTTATAATTAGTAATAAACAATGAAAGGAGAACATGATGCCAACTACCACTCTAGCAAAACTGCCGGGAAGATGAAGCCCGTGTCACCTGGGGTCTGCTGAGTGAACCCTTCCAAGTACCTCTGAATAAGTTCCGTGACTATCATCTCCTTGGAGTAATAAGTTCTCTGTGAGCTATCCTTATGCCACTCATTAAGCTTCAACGAAGCCCTGACCTTCTGCTTTGGACCTGTCTTTATATAGGAGGTCTGTGTCTCTATCATCTTATCTTCAATAGATTGATTTCATTGACTTTATTCTCAAAGACGACAGTGATTCCCTGCTGCCCAAGTATATGTCCCTCAGAGTATAAAATACTCTTTTCCCTAGAGAGCAAAAACCAGTTTTTTCCCTATCTCAAGATTTGTGTCCAATAGGAAATATTAGTCGTTTATTTTCTGCGCTTCCTAATCCCCAGCCCACAAAGACGTGGCAAGGCAAGCTCTTCCGCGGAAAGGCAGCTACACAAGAACAACACGGAAATGCAAAAGCAGCGCTTTTCGCAATAGGCAGCTTCTCCAAAGCTGCAGATGTATCCAGTTTTGACAAATCAAATCCACTTTGATATCCATAAAAGGAGCATTCTAGTCATCAAGCTTCAAGGTGAATCCCTCGGTTATGTAACAACTTTCTAATGTAGTTCTCTGAAAGTTTAAGATCTCATAAATCAGATTATTTTTTAGCAAGGCATTCTACTCTTCTACTGCATAAAGACCAAAACACTGCTCAAATAGATACCATGGTAAATACCTATAAACATCAGTATTTTATGTTAGCATCACACACCTTATGGACTGCAAACTATTACAGTGTTGAGGGAGAAGTGGCTCCAAGTCAAAGCTCTATTCCACGGAACAAAACCTGGTATTTTAAGTATTAGCACCTCCTGGCGAATGTCAGCTGGTAACCAGAGTTCTTTAATTGCCGTCATAAACAAACAGTCTACGGGGTTCAGGTCTAGATAAAAACCTTTCAAGATGGTAAAAGATACTGTGAAGTAGACAGTGGACTTTTGTTGTTAGGGATGCAAATACCCTGTCGGGAGCACATGCACCCTGGCTCACAGACCTCAAGAAGGACTCGGTCTAGATAAGCAGGGAGTGTTGCATAAGCAGGGCTCAGAGGCAATGTTTGCTCAGACATCAGTAATTCCTTAATCCCTTTGATGCATCTGTCTCTAGTAATGGAAACTCTCTACTTCTCTTTTTCTTTTCTTTCTCTCTCTCTCTTTTTTTTTTTTTTTTAAGAAACTAAAGCACAAAAAGAAAGTGAGAAAACTACAAACTGATTTGGCAACAGCTAAGCAAGAGGCTGCCATCACAGTCCTGGAACTCAATGAGAAGATAAAGAGTCTACGTGAAGGAAAGCCAGCCCCTAGAGGTCAGTGTTACCACGTGACAGTTCCATATCGGCCTGGCATCCTGGGTGATGTAGATGCAGTACTTTTATTGGCAATGAAACAAAAAGTGAGGCCACAGTGCTGGGGAGCATTCCATGTGCGTAGACACAGCACATAAGCGAGTAACTCTAGTGGGATCTGCGTTCACCCTAAGAGAGGCAGAGAATGAATGAATAAGCTGTTCTTTAAGAGAAAGTCTCTGGGGGCCAGGAGGTGGCATGGTGTTAAGGTGTTGGATTCCTACATGGCTGCCAAGGTCTGAGTCCCAGACTCGGCAGCTTGAAAATTACAGTGCCGGACCCATGTGTAAGCGTGCCCAAAATCCTAAGAGGAGAATGGAGGAGAAGGGATTGCAGTGGGTGTGGCCATCCCCCTGGGGGTGGGTGATTTCTCCCTTTCCCTCTCACTGTCTCTGTCTCTGTCTGGTGAGTGCACACACCCTCTGGCTAAAACTTTGAAGAAAATGAAAAAAGAAAGTCTTGAAGTCAAAGAGTCAAAGAGTTCAGCCTTGAAACACAGCTGAGACGTGTCATTGGACAAGCTGGTTGCCAGGGAGGGGAGGGTAAGGCCTAGAAAGGAAGGCACAGCCCTAAAGAAGACTTCCCAACTCAGAAACTGTAAACACACATGAGGAGGGAAAAGCCCTCAGACTGTCATCAGTAGCAATAACATGAGTTAATGTCCAATACTATGTGTCAGGCATTCTGCTATGCATTCAGTGTACTGTTAATTCTCTGAAAAACCTCAGGTACACCCATTTATGGGTTCCAAGGAAGAAGCAGAGGCTTAACGATGTTAATCACCTTGCCCCCAGGTTAGGCATGTGCAAGCAACACTGGAGTAGTCAGCCTCTTCCGAGGTATTCAGTAGCAACTTACCCTTCGCCAGGGTGCCTTTCCCAGCTTCCACAGACTCGGATATTGCCCCTGTGCTAAGTAGCGGCAATATCAGACGTCACCATGCCTGATGGGTCTCTTACAAAGCTGTGGTTCCCTGGGTAAACGTCTCTTTGATGTGTGCTATTCTAGCAACGCCAGAAACATGCCATTGTTCTTATTCTGGCTTCCTTTATTACTCATAAGTAGTTCTGGAAAAAGAGGAGTAATGTGGAAACAAATGGAGGAGGAGGAAGTAGGTGATGTGGTGGCTTCAGAAAGGGAAACATTTCCAGCATCCTGACTACATGGTAAAGCTTTTGATATGAATTTGGTTTTCATTTTCCACTTCGAATGGCGCTTTCCGTGGCTTTCACTGGTATGTAACGCTGTCACCTTGAAACACAGGCTGAAGGTCGAATGTGTTTCTCTTTCAACAGAGCATAAAGGTAGATTATAAAGTGGCTCTTTCCACCTTGAAACCTAAAAGAATGAAAGTCACTGGAGAATATTAGCCATTTAAAGACTTCTATTCCAAAGCATCAGAGTCTGATTTTCAATCAGTTACATAATAGCCACCTGACAATGATTGTAGAGCAGACTGGAGAGGGCCAGCCAGATGGCATGGAGATCAAGGTGGCTGGATCCCACATGTTCAACTACATGGTTCGAGTCTCAGACCTTAGCTTGAGGACCATGCCAGGAACATATGTGTGCCCAAAATCCCAAGAGGAGAAGGGCCTGTAGTGTGGTCATCCTCCTGAAGTGGGGAGGTAGTGCTTTCTCACTTTTGCTCATTTTCTGTCTCTCTCTTTGTCTCTCTGTCTCTCTTTCTCTCTGGTGAGTGCACATACCTTAAAGCAAATCAATTTTTAAAATTAAAAAAGGGAGGCCAGCAGGTGATATAGTAGTTAAAAGCACTGGATTCCCACATGGCCAACAGCGGTTTGAGTCCCAGACCTGGCAGCTTGCTTT